GTACTTTTCATTCTCTTTTAATGAGGACCACTGTACAAGGTGAAATAACTAGGACAAAATGTTGTGTGTGTGTATCTATGTGCCAGTTCTGTCTTCAATACTGTTTGGAACAAGTGGATCATTAGCCTGACTTGTGTTTTTATTATAACAAAGTTTGACTAATTTTACACCTTTATAAATTTTATGCTGTCATTGTTTTTATTTAAGTTATAATTCTGCCTATTTCCTGATATATTCTCATATATTTCCATTACTTTTAAAAAGCAAAGGTGGAAATATGCTATTAACAATAAAAGTTTTTCAATTGTAGTGCTATTTTTTTGGAAGTTTCAGGTATTTCAATAGGAAGTAAATACCTAAAATACTTTTTTTATGTGTACCAATTTTTATAGAAACATTACTTCAAGTTGTGAGATCAAGTTGCATTTCTGGATAGACTGATGCATTTATCAATCACAAAGAAGATTGACATATTCTTTAGATAAATTTTTTTCAAGCTTGGATGATTTTTATAGTGTAACATTTCCTAAAGATTATGGGAAGCATGTTTCCCATTCTTATGCCTTCAGCGAGGCATAAGAAATAGTGGCATTACATTTAAAGAAGTCTCGTTAAAAAGCAGAAGCAGGCTTTTCACTTCATTAATTAAAATAAAATTTGGTTATGTGGTTACTTGGAGTAGAATTTACTCAGAATCAAAAAGAATTTAGATATGCTGTATCATCTACATTTATAGTTTATAACACTGAGTTTTCTTTCAGACTGTCAACTATACAGACAATAAAATTAAGGTTTTAATAAACTTAGCTTTTGGGTTTTCTGAATCCTATGAAGTCAATTTTTTTTTCCTTTAAACTCTGAAAACCACCTGTTGCTGAAAATATATAAATTAGAATGTCAGACTGACAGGTTGGTAAAGGCAGGAATGAAAAAGTTACTTTTTACAGATACCATATTATCACTTCATACAAAAACAACAATTCAGAACTCACTTTTAAAATTTTATCTTAATTAAAAGACTTTATTTTTTAGCATGGTTTTAGATTTATTGAAAAATTGAGCAGAAAGTACACTTTTCCATTTTCACATCTTGCATTAGTGTGGTACATTTGTTAGAATTGAACTGGTCTTGAAACATTATTAACTAAAGGTAGTAGTTTACATTAGGATTCACTCTGTGCTGTGCAGTTCTACAGGTTTTCTTTTTTTAAGATTTTATTTATTTATTTAGAGAGTGCATGCGCTAGCAGAGAGAGAAGCAGAGGGAGAGAATCCTCCAGCAGACTCCCCACTGAGCATGTAGCCAGATGCAGGGCTCAGTCTCATGACCCTGAGAACATGACCTGAGCCAAACTCAAGAGCTGGACACTTAACCAACTGAGCCACCCAGGCACCCTGGTTCTGTAGGTTTTGATAGATGCATAAAGTCATGTATCCACCAGTGTGATATACAGGACAGTTCCACTGCCCTAAAAATTTCCTTTGTTCCACTTACTCATCTCTTCCTCTTCCCTCCCCCTTCTAACCCTGGCAACCACTGATCCTTTTATTGTCTCTGTACTGTTTTTTCCGGAATGTCACATAGTTGGAATCATATGTAGCCTAAGTAGTATGTAGCCTAAGTTTCCTCCAAGTCTTTTCGTGGTGAGCACACCTTTTCATGAGGTGATTACACATCTTTGGTCAGCATGTTGCTCTTAGTGCAAGGTCAAACACTGGCAAACTAGGAACAGGCCAGAATAATGGCAAATTTTTGTTTTGTTTTAATTATTTTTAAGAAGTGTTTTGGTTCTGTTTGGGAGTTTCGGGGTTTATTTTGATAAACAGTTTTTATTTTAATTAATTTATCAATCTTTTCTTTTGTGGTTAGTGATTTCTGTCTCTTGTTTTAGAAATCTCTGCTTATCTCAATGTCATGATGATAGTCTCCTATTTTTTTTCTGGAAACTTAGTTGCTTTAGTTTCACAATTGGCCATATAATTCATTATAAAGTGATTTCTGTGTATGGTATAAAGTAGAAGTCAAGTCTTACAGGTACTGCTTTTTCACCTAAGTAATACAGAAGGGAGCAGAAAGTTCCAGGCTCTGGTCTTATCTTGCATCAGTGGATAAATATACACACTTTTGACTTTGGGAAAAAAAGCAAACCAAGAAGCAAATCTGTCTATAGTTGTTAAGTGCAATCTTATGAAGCCTACCTGAAAGCAGAGCTAAAACAAACTCAGAATAAAGTAAATGATTCAACATCGCACAACTGTTTAGAATAAAAATCCAGGGCTGTTTGGCTCCACAGTCAATGTTCTTTCCACAACTCCATGTTCTTCTTAGTATTTCTTAAATAACAAAGTTAAGAGTGGAGATTATTTTTTCACTCATTAATTTAGTAATTATTGGAGTACCTTCTATTCTAGGTGCTGGAGATATAGTGATAAAACAAAATCTGTGTTCTCAAAGAATTCATATTCTAGTTGGGGGAGGTAAAATAGAAGCATGGAAACCTAGGTACTTCTAGTTACCATGGATATAAAATAGGGCATGTGTGAGCTAAACCATGGGGAAGGGTATAGATAGCATCATCTGGGAGGTCCTCTCAGAGCAGGTGACAGCTGAGCTGAGACATGTTCAAAAGGCACAGAAACCAGCTTGAAGGGGCTCCCACAGGCCAAATCCAGAATAATTTCAACATCAAAATAAGTAATGATAATAACATTATAAATCATTGGATAAAATAAGAAACCATGAGTCAATGCTAATGTAAATGGACAAATAATGTGATGAAGAATGGGATATTGACAATTGTCTCAAATATCTCCCTACAAAACACTTATTAATTACAAAGGAGGAAAAAAGTAGCTTGATAGCAGAAAATCCTGCCAGATACTACCTTAAACAAAAAATCAAGGGTGCTTGGCTGGGCCCAGCTGGTAAAACATGTGACTTGATCTTGGGGTTGTGAGTTTGAGCCCCACGTTGGGTACAGAGATTACCTAAAAATAAAATCTTTAAAAAAAAGAAAAAGTTGAAATCATTAGTACCAAAGCAAATGAAATCACATGCCTCCTGATAGAATGCAATGAGAAGAACACAACACCACTTTCATGATGTTCTTAACAAAGATTCGTAACCTGAATTTATCACTAAGACAAATTGAGGCATCTTCTACAAAATAACTGGTCTGTAGTCTAAATACCAAGGTCATGAAAGTTAAAGACAGAAACTATTTCAGGTTGAAGGAGATGAAGAGACACGGCCACTAAATGTAATGCATGAATCTAAACCAATTTAAAGATTATTAAATGTTAAGAAAATTAGCAAGCAAGGAAAAAGAAAGGTAATAGAGGTAGAATTGGTAATAAGTGTTTGGACTTGGACTATATTTTAAATTTGAAATGATAACACTTGCTGACCTTTGACCTGAGCACCTGGATTAATAATGCTGCAATTTGGGGTGCCTGGCTGGCTTAGTCTGTAGAGCATATGACTCTTGATCTCGGGGTCATGAGTTCAAGCCCCATGTTGGGTGCAGAGATTACTCAAAAATAATGGTAATGCTGCAATTTAAAGAGATGGGGCAAATTATGGGAGGTGGGGAGTATCGAGGGTAGGAAATGAAGAGTTTCCTATGGACATGTTTTTCAGGTATCTGTTGCTGCATAACACAACACCCTAAAACTTAGTGGTTTAAAATAATGACTATTTATTTGTCATGATTCTGCAAATTGGGCTAGACTTGGCTTCATAGTTCTTATGACGGTCTATCCTGGGATCATTCTACATTCTTATAAAGGCTCAACTGGGATTCTATAAATTCACTCACAAGTCTAGTGCCTTACCTGGGATAGATACACTAGCCGGGAGCTGGCTGGGGTTCTTTATTCATGGTATCTCCAGCAGTGTAGCTGTACCTTTCTTTACGTGGTGGCTCAGAGCTCCCAGAAAAAAAAAAAAAAGTGGAGGCTTTCTCGTCATCTAAGCAAGGCACAAGGCTAGCCCAGATCCAGAAGGGAGAGGAAATAGACCCCATGATGGAAGGAGCGGCATGCAGCACTGGCATGGCAGGAATTGTTGACCACCATCTTGGTAGAAAATGTACCAGAAATATGTTGTTTGCAGTGCTTGTTAGACACTGAAGTTGGAAATTGGGTACAAGGATTTGGTGTTCAGGGAATACTTCTGGACTGGTTATATAAATGTGGGAGTTATTAGCATAAAATGGTATTTTAAACCATGGGACTTAATGAATTCACCTTGAAACATAAGGTTCATAGAAAAGAAGGATGATCCAGGACTGAGCCTAAGGTGCTCTCACATCTAGAGGTGAGACGGAACAAGGCAAGACAGGAAACTGAAAAGAGCCCTGTGAAATAGGAAGAGAACTAAAATGTATGATCTAGTGAAAGGCAAGAGAAAAAAGTGTTTCAAGAAGGAGGCCTATTTTGGGACGCCTGGGTGGCTCAGTCAGTTGAGTGTCTGCCTTTGGCTTGGGTCATGATCCCAGGGTCCTGGGATCCAGCCCCACATTGGGCTCCCTGCTCAGCAGGGGGCCTGCTTCTCCCTCTGCCTGCTGCTCCCCTTGTGCTTGCTCTCACTCTCTTTCTCTCTAACAAATAGATAAATTATTTAAAAAAAAAAATCTTAAGAAAAAAAAGGAGGCCTATCTTGTTAAAAGGTGAAGGAAGAAGCAGCCCTTGGACTTGGTCACACGGAGGCTATTGGTGGCTTTGATAACAGAGACTCATGTTACTCAAACTGGGTACCCCAACCCCAAAGGCACTCAACAGTGGACCAGTTTTTTGTTTTTTAAGATTTTATTTATTTATTGAGAAAGAGAACAAGCGGGGGGAGCAGCAGAGGGAGAAGTAGACTCCCTACTGAGCAGGGGGAGCCCGATGTGGAACTCTAGCCCAGGATCCTGGGAACATGACCTGAGCCGAAGGTAGATGCCCTCCAACCAACTTTTTTACTTTCATTTAAGTATCATTCCCTCTTAGATCACCAGGAGGAGTGAAAGATTTCTAGTTTTCTTGGTGACTAGGTTATATCAATTACTAAGAGAGGGAACACATACAGAAACAAGTCATATGGAAAGACAGGTTACTGATCTAGTAAGTGGGTGTTTGAAGCCCCAGCAGGATGTCCACATGGAAAGCTTAAGACCCAAGGGGAGGTCTGGTCCAGAGGTTGGATGGAAAGATTGGGGTTGGAAACCCAGATTTGGGAGTCACAAGCATAAGGTAGTTAATGCCATGGAAAGAGATGGGCTGACTTGCAACTTTGTAATGCCCTCTACAAAATGATAAGTATTGCTGAAAGATGGTATAATACGCTGGGAAACACCAGCGTTTAAGGGCCATACAGGGCAAATCAAGAATGGAAAGAAGCTGACAATGAGAAGCCAGAGAGTTTGGAAGACCCACCTAGTGGTGAGATGCAATCCAAGAGGAATTTCATCAAAGGTAGTTTTCAGAGCCCATTGTAATGAGGTCGAGCAGGAGAGGATTTAGTTTGTGACTTGGTAAGTCCACCGCCCATAGAGGTCTTCCATGGTGACTGCGGGAAGCAACCAGACTGAGAGTAATTTTCATTTTGAAGAGGAGATGCGTGAGGTCGGGAAGAAATCCTGGCGTCTCTGGGCGATGGCTAAGGTGAAGTGGCAGTGAAAAAACAAATTCTTATCTCTTGTATGCCTTTAATAAATGCTTATTGAATGTTGAAAGTTTGGTTGGGACCACTGGTACAGGACTTGCCTCTTCTCAGGGTTCCTCCGGAAGGAGCCTAAAGCAGCCCCCGCTTGGCTACCAGCGCTCCCCGCCTCCCGCCTCAGTGCCGAGGGGGGAGGCAGGAGCCCGGCGCAGCCGTCAGGTGGCGCAGGCCCTGTGCTCTACCGCAAGACTTGGGGCGGAGCCAACCGCGGGGCGGGCCCTGAAGCAGCTTCCGGCTTCCGGCGGAGTCCACGGTCGTCCCGCGCAGCCGTCATGGCGGCCGAGGAGAAGGACCCCTTGAGCTATTTCGCGGCTTACGGCAGCAGCAGCTCAGGTTCGTCGGGCGAGGAGGATAATAGCGAGCCGGAGGAAACAAATCGCAGGACCCCAGATCCTGCGAAGTCGGCGGGCGGCTGTGGGAACAAGGCGGAGAAGCGGCTGCCGGGACCCGACGAACTGTTTCGGAGCGTGAGTCGCCCGGCCTTTCTCTACAATCCGCTCAACAAACAGATAGACTGGGAGAGGCACGTCGTCAAGGCGCCTGAGGAGGTGAGGTTCCCGACCCGGTTTCCCGATCGTGGCCCCGGCCTCCGCCCCCTTCCTCCTGAGCCCTCTCCTGGGGACCGGCAGTTCGTTCCCCCACACGCAATCACCTCCTGCGGGATGCCGCACCACCCCTCCCACCTCCAGCCCTGGGGAGCCCGGGCCCCCTTCCCCAGCCTGGTGGGTGTCAGACCGGCCCGCAGCCCCCGCCCCCTTGTGAGGAGACCCAAACCTCCGCGCTCGGTGCCCCGACCCCGCGCTGCGAGGACTAACGGTGGTGACTCCCCCGCCCCCCCCCCGCTGCAGCTTCTCCCCGAGACCCCTTCCCTTTGACGCCGAAGTGCCTGCGGTGCTGCCTCCAACAGTGTCTGCTGCAGCCTCCTGAAGGGGTCAGCCTTGGCGTAGTATCTGAGACTGGATTCTTCTTTGGTAACTAAAAGTTATTAGCTTTATTCGTATAGGGAACCCTTTGGCTTTTCACTTAACAGTATTATGATTTTGATGGAAAAAAATGTGTCTTTAAACCTTAAAAAAAAAAAAGTCAGCCTGAACAATGAGCGAACGGCAGGGAGGTGCATGTGCCCATACCGATTGTGGGAACCTCGGTTCCTCACGGTGCGTCTTAATGTGTTTGCTTAACAGCCTCCAAAAGAATTCAAAATATGGAAGTCAAACTATGTACCACCTCCGGAGACCTACACTACTGAGAAGAAACCTCCCCCTCCAGAGCTGGATATGGCAATAAAATGGTCTAACATATATGAGGACAATGGTGATGATGCCCCACAGAATGCTAAGAAAGCTAGGCTTCTACCGGAAGGGGAGGAGACAGTGGAATCAGGTAAGACGAGTCAGACTCCGTTGATAATACCTTTTGGTCCCTGTGATGAGTTTAAAAAGAATAAGATATTTAATGAGTGAAATTTAAATCTAGCGATTTAACATATCAATTATGGTGTATGATTATTATTTTTGCTGCAGTTTTGAGAAAGACTGTATAAATTCGGCTTTGAAGTGAAGTCTCTGAAAGGTCAACCAGTAGTATTTACTATGTTTTAGAAAAAGATCTTAAGTTATTCAGGCTTTAGAGTGAATTCTCTGATATCTCAAACAGTAGTATATATGATTTATTATGGTGCCCTTTTAAAACAGCCAGTTAATTCATGGATTCTTTCTTGTGATTGCAGCTTTGAAGAGCTGGAGGCTTCATTTTCTATTAAAGCAGTTGTGGTTTAAAGCCAAAATTAGTGTGACAAAATGAAGTTAATTGAGTAGTACTACATAGTAATAGGAAGATGATGACTTAGTTGACTTGCTTATATCATAATTTCATCTCATATTTAGAGTGTAAGTAACCACAGTAATCTCTGCTTACACACTTTTACCCAGCCCCCCCAATTCCATCCTAAACACAGCAGCTAGTGATCACTTTCTAAAAGTGATGTCTGGTTATGTAACTCACCTGCTTAAAATCCTTCACCAACAGCATAGTCAAAGCCTTCTGATAGGCCCTGCCTTTTTTTCCACCTTCATTTCAAATGGTGCTTTTTCTAGCACTTTAAGATCTTAAAATTGAAAACTGAATAGACCACGCTATTTTATGGTTCCATGCCTTTCAGCATATGTTGCTCCTTACTCTAGAATGTTCTTCCATCCCTCTTTGGCTGGTAAACACACTCATCCTTCAAAATCCAATTCAAAGAAGAAAAAAATGTCAGCACCTCCCTCAAATTATTTGCTCCTCTGTACCTTGTATGTGCTAATGCTATTGATTACACCTGTCATCTTTTATGAGATTATTTGTTCATAAGTCTATCTTTTTTTTTTTAAAGATTTTATTTATTTATTCATGAGAGACAGAGGGAGAGAGAGAGAGAGAGAAGCAGAGGGAGAAGCAGGCTCCCAAGGAGCAGGGAGCCCGATGCGGGACTCGATCCCAGGACCCTGGGATCATGACCTGAGCCGAAGGCAGACGCCTAACCATCTGAACCACCCAGGAGCCCTAAGTCTATCTTCTTTATGAAAATGAGTTCTTTTACAGTTTGTAGTATATTTTAAATATTCAGTGGATAATTGTTGAATTGGACTAAATACTTGGACTGTCATTTTTATGAAAGGGCATGCCAGTTAAACAGATTTCTGATGTTCTCATAAATCCAGGGCTCCTTACTTAGCTCCTTTTACAATCAGGCAGAGAGTTTTGTTTAGGAGAAAGAATAACTGATAGGAGTTCTTCAGTTTTGATTCTACTTGGTTTTTCCATTTCTTTCACTCTTTTCCAATGTGGATTAGAAGTCACTAATGAAGGCGTATGTTCAGTAAATGGCATCCTTTTAAATCCAAATACCTCATACTGTATAGCATTATGTAATTTTAAAAAATTTGCACAAATGTTTAATCCTACACCTTGTGAAATCAGATGGGCAAATGTGGAAATGAGAGCTTAATGTGGCTTGTCCATGATCACAAAACTAGAAAATGCCAAGTTGTAAAATAGGTACTTTCACACAATTTTTAAAATTTATTGTTCTTAGCAACCTAGTACAGAAGTAGTGCGTAATTCATAATTATAATGAATTTTATCTATAAAAGGAAATAATCTCAGATTAAAGAATTGGCCCAAGTAAATTCACACAGCTAGGAAGAGGCAGAATTAGAATTCAGATTCAGGCCTTTAAATGGAAGTGATGCCTCTATAAGCTGGGGTTTATTCTCTTGATGTTTTGCAGGCTGTAGTGCTTGAGAAATAGCTGTTCTGTAGGAAGTAAGAACACTAGAGTTGATATTCAAACTAAGGTACCATAGGCTGGTGCTCTATCCTTGTTCCTATATGGAAAATGTGAGGATTCTATACCAGGACAAATAAGCAGAAAGAATTACCTTTTTTCAGCTTGTGTATTGAGTTCAGATAGAAGTTCCAAATATGTGGCAAATAATATTGTTATTCTCCTAGATAATTTCTGTTCTTTTGATGGTCATATGATGGTCCTCCATCAGAAAGTATACATAGACAATATCAAACGACAAAAGGACCCAGTGCTCAGACAGTTTACAGCTGGATCATAAAGTTAAAAGATAATCCTGGAATCTTTAATTTGGATTCTAAATGTTGGTTATTGAATATAACTGTCTTCTTTTTTAGATACTTTTCTTTTTAGAAGTGTTTTTTTGCCATTTTAGAATCCCGTACCGTGTTCACAGAGTCACTATAAAATTGATTATTTTTACCTGTATTTTTTAACTTAATACCTTGTTTAAGAAATTCTATACTCTTAAATTATCTAATTTTTAGATTATTAAGTTATTTTTACTTTTTCTACTCATTTTTTGCACTTTGGCCTTTTTTGCCAGTTAACTTCCAGATTTTTTTTTTCTTTAAAAGTTGGGAAAGAGAGGCACCTGGGTGGCTCAGTCGTTAAGCGTCTGCCTTCAGCTCGGGTCATGATCTCGGGATCCTGGGATCGAGCCCCGCATCGGGCTTTCTGCTCGGCGGGAGGCCTGCTTCTCCCTCTCCCACTCCCCCTGCTAGTGTTCCCTCTCTCGCTGTGTCTCTCTCTGTCAAATAAATAAATAATATCTTTAAAAAATAAAAGCTGGGAAAGATTCAAAACTCATCGAGGCTTGCTACTTACCAGCACTTTTTGTCTGGTAATTGTGAAATGAAAATCGGTAAGGCTTAGATATTCACATGTCCTTAACCACGAAATCCTAGTTAAAGTAGGTAATGCTTTTTCTTTTTTCTTTCTTTTTTTTTATAAGAATTTAGAAAGCTCATATTAACAATGTAAACTTCTTTACCTCAGGTGGCATGAATTCCTTTTTTCCTTACTAATGCCTCTGTAATACATGGTACAGAGTAGAGACTCAATAATCTTGATAAATGAACATTTCCGGGTGGTTTTCATTTTTCCTCTGGTTTTTTAAGGTAATACCTTGTTATGTCACTAGATGGCAGAAGCTCCGGTTCAAATTACTGGTAGAAAATTGTTTTTCCAGCCCTAGTAATTTGTGTTTTTTGTTAATTCAGTAAATCTATTTAAAATTAGAGACTAACAGAAGTGTCTCACAATCATCTTTTTTTTTTAAGATTTTATTTTTTTGAGACAGAGCGAGAGCAAGCACCAGCGGGGGGGAGGGGCAGAGGGAAAGGGAGAGGCAGGCTCCCTGCTGAGCAGGGAGCCCAAAGCAGGGCTGGATCCTAGGACCCTTGAGATCGTGACCTGAGCCAAAGGCAGATGCTTAACTGACTGAACCACCCAGGCACCCACAATCATCTTTTTAATAATATGTCAATGGTGGATTTTATAGCAGAGTTAGAAAATAAATTTCAATTTTTATTCTATGAAGATAATGTCAAAGTCAAGCAATGATGTTAATTAAACTCCATTTAAAAAACAAAGACTTTGGCTTATTTGAGCTGTGTGCCGTATCACTTGGTTTGTACATTATTTTTGTGTATACATGATAAACTGTTGATTAAAACTCTGGTTTGTGAAGTCCTAGGATGATTCATTGATCTGAATTTTATTTTATCTTGCTGCCTATATAAATCCATACGTGCTTTCTGAAATACATGAATAACATCGCCATACTATGCTTGAAAGATGAATGAAGATAAATCATCTGCTGTTGATTCTAATTATTCTCCACATCAACAAAGGAGATATTCTGAGTATGGTACAGTTAGCAGAAGGGAGTTGAAGGCTTAAGTTGTAAATGTATTTCCTCCATAAGGAGGTTATGGTGTGATATAAGCAGCATTTCCCCGATTTTTTTTTTTTTTAATTAAGTAAGCTCTACACCCAGCGTGGGGCTTGAACTCACAGCCCCAAGATCAAGAGTCGCGTGCTCTACTCCTGACTGAGCCAGCCAGGCACTGCAGCTTCCCAGTTTTTTAATATGAAGACCCCATTCAACATCAGAATATTTTATAGATCACCACGTGATAGACATTGAACGTTGGGTATCTGTTGATTGAGAAGGTAAAGCCAAAAGTGCAATGAATCCAGTAATGTGGTTAAAATAAATTTGTATTTTAAAATTTATAACTTCTACATGTTTATCTATATGGAGTTCTCTTAACATAAAGCCACACACATGTTCAGAGAGAATACAGTTTTGGTGAAACATCTACCAATGAGTGGTTTTTAAATTTCAGAATAAAAGGACGGGTTATAAATACGGAAGGGAGTTGTTTTGCGGGGAGAAAAGCAGATTGGAAGGGAAAGAATAGCCAATGGCCACTTAAATACTTAAATATTAGATTGATACTCTTCTTTGGTAAAAAGAATAGAATGTGTTCCATTTTTACAACATGTAGATTATTTAAATATACACAAAGTGTATACTGTGGAATATATAGGAATAGCTTTTTTCCAGAACAAGTCTGATTTTTTCATTTTAAACTACCTTAATATAGCACTAAAAGGTCACTCTGAATTTTGTGTGACACTACAATTAAAAAACTTCTTGTTTTTACTTGCACTTTAAAATCAGAGTTCTAAAAGTTAATTTTTGGTTTTTATTAGGAAACTGGAAGACACATAAGTTGAGGATAATGATTTTGGTCTAAAGTCAATGAAATTTTAATACTTAACTTTTTTTTTTTAATTACCGATTGAAACTTTTCCTTTCCTATTTAAAGATGATGAAAAAGATGAGCATACTTCTAAAAAGCGCAAAGTAGAACCAGGAGAACCAACAAAGAAGAAAAAGTAGAAAACAACAAATGACAAGAATTTCTGGACTGCGAAACTCGTTGAAACGATTTTTTGGGGCAGATTAAGTTGACAATTTAAATTATTATGAAACAACATCTCCATGAAAGTACATGCTAATTAACTAATAATAAGTATTGCTGTGGGAACTTTCCACTGTAGAATTCATTTTTTATTTAAAACTTTATTTAAAACTCAAGTGGTGATTTGTGATTGTGAAATTGACAACACATGGAAGCATTCTTGCTATCACAGAATTGGTGACATGCTTTGAGAGTTTTGTCACATGTCCACATGCCAGTGTTCTATGAACCTTTTATAAAGGAATATATTTTTAAAGTAAATATATTGTACTGTGAACTTGTAGGGTGCTTTTCAACAGTGTTTGTACAGTGTAAATAGATCATGGAAATAAAATTACTTATTCAGTATTACTATTATTGCATAACATTAGCATTTGAATATTTGTGACAAGGAACCTTTTTGCCATGTGATGTTTTAATAGTAAGTATTACCATCTAGGAGTGCCTCCTGTGTTCCAGGTGCTTTGTGGATACTTTTTCTCTGATCCTCAAACAGCCTGGTAAAGCAGTTACTAGTGGCTTCATTTTATAATAAGAGATTAACTTACCCAAGGTTCCACAGCGAGTGAGCAGTGATTTGGGGACTTAACTAAGGATACTTGAACTCCAAAATCATCACCCTGAACCACCTGCCCACCAAACTTTGTTTATCTTCTAGGGACTGCAGTGGTCATGTCTTCAGGTGCTCTCTGTGGTAAGCAGGGGGATCTCCTTACCTGATTATATCACTGCACTTTATCATGTAAGCCTTATGTGATGGTATTCTTTAATTTTCCCTGGTAAATAGTTTGCTGAAGATAAGGATTCTGTATAAAGAATTGGCAGAGGTAGCAAATAAAAATACAGGACACCCAGTTAAATTTGAATTTTAGATAGACAACAAATAATGTTTTGTATGTGCAATATTTGGGACATACACTAAAAATGTGTTTATCTGAGACTCAGATTTAACTGAGCTTCTTGTGTTTTATCTGACAACACTACTTCTATTGTGTTTTTGTACATGGCTCCTATTTTAATGCTTTGCATTTAGTAATAAAATCAGCAAGGGGTAGTGAGGAAAGTAATCATCTTTGATTTTACTTCTGTAGTCCAAAATGCAGTGCAGTTGCAGTTATTTGTAGCATTTTGAAATATAAAAAGGAGAGGCTAGACATTGTATCAGTCGTTCCATGAATCTTAATACCTTTCAGGGACAAGAGTTAATTATAGGACACTGCACCTTTAGTGTTTACGAAGACGTTGGCCTTTGAGTTTTTTAAAAAAATCCTCAGTCTAGTTGTTTGTCTTCAGTACTGGAAACCAGTACTTGAAAAACTATAAAATTTGTTTAATTGGGGACATGGATCAAGTAGATTAAAATTTGTAAAGGGCATAAAAGTGATGATGCTAGCCATGGTGTTTTGTGGGATGAGGAAGGAATATAACAGTATGATAGCTTCCAGTACATCTCAGACTTAAAAAGATTAATTCTGTAGCTGTGCATCCTCTGTTTATAGATATGATTCCCAAAGTGGAAGTAATTGGTAAAACAAACTTTTTGTTTAAAGCCTTTGTATATGAATAATTTCGAGGGCTGTAGTATCATATTAGGGAGTGGCATCAAGTGATAAAGCATGACTCCATGGTGACACCAAACTACAATGAAATTATAATTTTGAGTCTGTGATTCCCAAATCTAGAGAAATAAGTTGTCTGGATACATGTATTGGAGGAGCAGATATCTCAAGAAGTTACTGAAATATTACAAGATTTAAAAATTAGCATGAAGGCAAACCTCATACAAAAAAACAAAACCCAGCAAGCCACTGTCGGGAAATCTAACCTCTTTTTATCACCCATTAGTTCAACTTCCAACTTAGATCAGTAAGTTTATGACAGAACAAAAGCTCACTAGATCAGTCTCTAGTGATGCTTTGAGCCCCCTTCTAGAAGATAACAGAATGGGGGTGGTGGGGAGGAATAAATACTGCTTTTTTGGAAGGGGGATTGATAGTTGAGGACAGTTCGTGGCTACACTTGTGAGCTCATGCCCCTGCTGGGAGATGGATGGCTATTTGAGCAGTTCTAATGTAGGAAGGGGAAGAGATACTTTAGGAAGAAGGAGGCTAAATATTTTGGAGCAGTCTGATTCTGCCATTTGTATCTCATTGGGTTTCTTTTCAAAATATGGCCAAAAAACAGAAGGGGAAAGGGACCTCTATCCAAGTTGTTTCTTTTTTGACAGTCAGATCACTTGATATTTGACTCTTTCCTCATCTTTAAAGAAGTTAAGCCATATCAGGCGTAAATGACTTTCTTTTGTGCAAGGATAAAATTTGAGACGAACTAAGCATCTGTGGGCCATATTTTAAAAAAAAAAAAAAGCTTAAAAACCTAAGTAAGTAGCTTTAAGGAGTTTTGTGGAAAACATTTTAACTGGAATCAAAGAACATTACTGAGAAAATTGACACTGATTTTTAGCCATTAAAATACTCATATTACCTGGACTACTTTCTAGTCTAAATCCTTGTGTAGGTGCTAAATGCCGTGTAGTGCTTTTGAGTTCACAAAATTCAATCACATAGTTTCCAAAAACCTAATGAGGTAGGCTTTATCATTTCCAAATTAAAGAAATGGAAAACAGTCTCAGCCAGATAAACAATATACCCACAAATATATGAGTTAGCTTCAGAGCTCAGGCTAGAATCTAATCCCATTCCATATAAAGTTTATGGAGTACGTATTGGTGCAAAGCACTGTGTTAGGAAAAAAGGACCCATCTTTATTTTAGCAAAGTCACATTGGTAGCCATAAGGAGAAAGGACATGAAAGGACCAAGTCAGAAAGACCAGTTGCAGTAGTTTCGTAGAGCAGGTAAGTATCTGCATGAACTAAGGCATTGGAGAGGGGACAGGGACATGAAAACCAATAGTCCTTAGTTGGATATAATGGCTGAGAGTGAGGTTTTCTTTTGTTGCAAAATATATATATATATTATATATATAATATATATATATAATTAAAATGTAAATGGCCTAATGCAGGTTTGGACATGACCTGCATATAAAACATGTTGCCACACCATTTAGACACACAGCCCTACTAGAGATATTTTTAAAATGTAATTGTTTTTACAGGTATCTGCATGAACTCAACAACTTCGAATAAGTCAAATTTCTGACTAATTAAAACCGCAGCTGGACTTTAGTGTCATTGGTGGTATTTCAGATTTTAGCCTTTTGTGTCCATATGGAACTGCTTCCCTAGTTCACTTAGTACAGAAGTTCCAGACATTCTTACAAAAAAGATGTTAAATTCCCAGCAAGTGTTTTGGACTTGTCATTATATTCTAAAGCTTTCTGTCTTCCCTTTACATAGTTTTCCCAATTTAAAGCATTGCATTGCATTGTAATGCAAAATAAATAAAAGGTACCAAGAAGCATTTGTATGTACAGTCCACAGAGGAGGGCCTCTGCCTGTTTTCTTCATTGACTAGAATCATGCCTGGCACATAAAAGGTACTCAATAGAACTGATTGTTGATGGTGAACTGAATTTTTCACCTCTGGTTTGGGAGTGATTCTCCAGAGGCTTGTGTTTTCAGTTATATGGGCCAATAAATCTTGACAGTTTAAACCAGTTTGAATTCAGTTTTCTGTCATTTTCCATCAGAAACATCCTAACTGATGTGAAACTCTTTACTCCCTTGGTTTTCTTGCAAGGCCCCACGCTGCCCTGGTTCTCTCCTCTGGCTCCTCTGCTAGCTGCCCCGGAACGCCATTGTAGCCTGTGTTGTTGCCTTCTCATTCTCTACGCTGGTTCTTGACGATTTCAGCGGCGTTCTCGGCTACCACAATCAGTAACACTCTGATGGTTCCCTATACTGTATGGCTTGCCAGAATGTTCTCAGAAAACCCCAGATCTTTGTATCCATTTGTACATCTCTGCTTGAGTCTAAAGGCCCCTCACATACTAAATATGCAAAACCAAACACTGGCAATACCCATACCACCTCCTGTATTTTGCTTCTGGTTAATTGCATCACCATCAACCCCAAAATCTGCCTTCTGCCTCATTTCCCATCACGTGGGTTTAGTTACCAAATCCTAAGGGTTCTCTCCACTTATGCTCACACACTTATTAATCCAGCTCTAATGAACCATTTATAATTCCCCAGATAAGCTAGTTTCATAATTTTGTGTGTTCACTTACACCATTTGCTTGGCCTGGCCTTTCAACTTCGTGAACTCCCTCTTATCCTCACAGATGAGAGTCTCAAGTATTCCACTTCTTATGCCCTTTGCTCTGTTTATTTCTAGATCTGCACCTGTCCATTGCTTTTCCCTGTGCTAAATAGCCAACATTTGCAGAGTACTTACTGAAACCAGGAACCAAACGGTTAATGGGGCTACTCTTCCCTGCAGACTAGTAAGTGCAGCTGCAACTTTTTACCTAGACTTTTTTTTTCAGATGCCTTTACATTTCCCTGATACTCCTTCAAGAGGTGGATTTGAGGCTTGCTCTCCCGTCTCCTTGTTTGGCTGCCTTTCGAATAAACCCTCTCCTGGCTGCACACTTGTCTCAGTGATTGTCTTTGCTGTGAATCGGGCGGATAAACTTGGATTTGGTTACATTTACTATGTGCTAGGCATTGTTCCTGGTACTTTACATGTATTAACTCATTTAATTTGATGAGGTGGGTGCTATTACTAGCCCTACTTCCCTGCGGGGAAAAAAAACAGAGGTACAGAGAGGTTAAGTCATTTGCTCCAGGAGGTGGTAGAGCCGGGAAGGCAGGCAGTCTGGCTCCAGACCCAGGGCACTCCTTCACTGCACTGAAGAGGAGGAAGCGGCGCCTGAGTGAACCCATAGATTGATTTATTAATTTGTATGTGTTTCCTTCAAAGGATGTCATCCCTAGAAGGCACTCAGAATACAAACATTTGGAGAATTAATCCAAAACCTGTTCACTAACCAGAGGCACAGCATTTGTTTAATGCTATGGAAAGCATAGTCAATACATAAGTGTTTTAGGAAGACTGATGCATATTTCAATGATTTAGTACCTTCTTTATCACATATTTGGAGTATTTTTTCATTGAAAGCCTTAAAGCAATAGGGCTGAGAATATACCCCCCTCCCTCCAAAAATATCTTTTAGCTTTTCACTTGTTTTTCAAAGTCTACAATTTTTTAAGCAAAGTAAAATAGCTTTAAGTCATAAATTTGGCCTCAAATTTCATTGGCTTTTTTCTAACCTCTCAAATGATGGCTTGAGTGTAGAATCCTCGTACCAGGGCGTGGGAAGGCCTGCAGAGGTCCTCCGGTACAGCCTTGCCAGAATGCACGAATGTCTTCTCTGTCATCTTTGTCTCTCTTTTCTAGGCTCACAGATGAGCCCACAAAATGACAGGTTTACAGGCTGGATTTGAAAAGCCATTTCCTGTGTGTCTGTAATATCTTGGTTTCCAGGGTCTGGAACTCCTGTTCCTTTCCCTGTGTTTACCATTTTCTGAAAAGGGAGAAACAGAGTACTTCGTGCATTTTACTGAAGTAAAAGGGCAGCTCTATTCCTGGCATAATTACCTGTCTCCGTTTCTACAGGGGACCAAAATTCTAGCCACCTTCTCTGGCACACCGGGGAGTTTGCATTAACATTTTAAATTTAGAATTCCTGAGAGAACCAGCAATGGCATAACAAAACAATCACTTCCAACTAAGGAGGTGACTTGCCTGTGAGCCAAGTTACAAGCAAGCCAGCTCAGAACTAACTCCTCTGAGGCTCCTGTGCCAGGGGGAGCTTAAGACCCTTTTGCTTGTTTTTGGTTTGCAGACACACGCATGCTGAGGATTTGCCAGGCAATAGGACCTTCCTCTCATCTTTTTTTTTTTAAGATTTTATCTGTATTTGAGACAGAGAGAAAGAGAGCACAAGCAGAGGGCAGGCAGAGGGAAAAGCAGGCTTCCCGCTGAGCAGGGAGCCCGATGCGGGGCTCGATCCCAGGACCCCGGGACCATGCCCCGAGTCAAAGGCAGACACTTAACCGACTGAGCCACCCAGGCGCCCCGTTCCTCTCCTCTTTTTACCAAGCTCTGCCTCAGGCTGTCCCCTCCAATCCTCTCCTCAACTATAAAAAGTGGCCTAAAAGCCTTAGCAATAACATTTCTTCCATAGCATCTGGAATCCATGTGTCCAATATGGAAGGCATAAAATTATTTTTTTTCCTTTTAATTTAGGCTTAATTTATACTTGAGCTCAAAATCCTGCAGGCCCCTGCATCCCTCCATACCAAACTAATTAGAACAATTATCGGAGCCACCCGTGGCTCCAGATCTGTTAAAGCCTGTTATTGAGGTTAACAAATGAGAGGGTTAATTTCTCCCGATTGCTCCATAGTTGGCGAAGAAAGATAACAAGCCTCTTACATTAAGAGGGTGCTTTCGAGCTTTCAAGCTATTTTTTTTTCTCAATACCAAACTGCCACCCAGGAGAAGAGCTTCCTTTGGGGGGATCCAGCCTGTCTGGAGGTAAGTGACTTAATTCTGAACTGAAGCCCTTGGAATTCACTACCGCGTGTGAAAGAGGGGCCTCCTGGCCTTGCCGCTTCAACTGTGTAAAAAAAGATTTCAATACTTCTTAAAAAGAAGTGGGATTTCCAGGTAGTAGTAGTAATCTCTGGGGCCAACTCGGAGATGTTGACTTAAAACCTTAAACAGTTAAGTGGCTTTTTCTAGATAATTAGACAAGGGCCCTGTATATTTTTAACTTAAATTCATCCAGCCACTTTGGCTAGTTATAAACTACCTAGGTTTTTCTATTCTTTTTCCACTTTTGTGTCCCCTGTAACAGTAGCAAGACTATCCTATGTCCGTCTTTCTGGGTAGCTAAACTGGAGTTCCTAATTTAATTTTTTTTTTGCCCTGGAAGGTTTTTTTTTTAGATCACTTAGCCTAGCATTGAATTTTTTTTTTTTAAGGCCCAAGAGAGTTAAAAAAGGATTCGAGTTTCTTAGCATTACCATGATTTCAAATAATTTTTCCAAAAGAGATTTGTGAAAATGTGATAAAAAGTGATGGGAAACAGGTTTTCAGTTGCCTCACCAAAGTGCCAAAAGTAAGAAAAAAAAATCCTTGTCACAGAAGTGCCGAAAACAAAAACTTGTATGTTTTCTTTACTACAAATATATTTTGTCTTTTTCAAGGACAGGATCAAAGTTTACTCCAAAAACACAGTAAAAGTTTATCACTTTCAAGTCACATTGTTCCAATTAATTCTCATAACTTTAGTGTTCTATATAAATTGTTTATAATAGTAATGTTCATTTAAAAATATTTCTGGGGACACCTGGGTGGCTTTCTCCGCTGAGCATCTGCCTTCAGCTCAGGTCATGATCTCAGGGTCCTAGGATCGAGCCCCTTGTCAGGCTCTCTGCTCAGCGGGGAGTCTGCTTCTCCCTCTCCCTCTGCCCCTCCCTTGTCTCATCGTGCTCGCTGGCTCTCTCAAATAAATAAAATCTAGAAAAAAAAAAAAGGAAAAAATATTTCTGATTATGTGGATGCCTCGGTGGCACAGTCGGTTAAGGGGCCAACCCTTGGTTTCAACTCAGGTCAAGATCTCAGGGTCTTGGGATTGAGCCCCATGTCAGGAGGCACTGCGCTCAACGCAAAGTTGGCTTGAGACTCTCTCTCCCTCTGCCTCTGCCCCTCCCCCACTTGCACATGCTCTCTAAAATAAATAAATCTTAAAAAATATTTCCGATTATGAGAATGATACATGTTTGTTGTAGAAGTCCTGGGAAAAAAGTAAAATGAAATAAGAAAATAGAAATCACACTTAGTAGAGAAATCCACTGGTAACATTTTGATACAGAGTATTTTTTAGAGTGTTTTCTTCCTATGCATGTATGTACATATTCTGAACAACATAGTCCATATTTTACTTCACATTAAGCATTATTAATTCCATTAAGAATTCCTCAAACACCTTTTTAAATTTTCATTTATCTATTAGACTTTGAAATTATTTCCACATTTTTCACCACTATAAATAACGCTAAGATGAACACCTTATAATTTAGTATTCGGTTGTAGAATTTGATTATAGAACTGCTTTTGTGAGTAGGAATTTAAGACAGAGTCCTATGGAGAGTTGATCTAGTTTGCTTGACTTAATGCTCCTAACTTCTTGAGGCCACAGCTAAACAAATATTTTTAAAGTTTTCGTACCTCTTTTTGACCTCCTACATGTTAAGTCCCTTTCCAGAAACCAGCTCTTTATAATAGCAATCTGGTATTTCTTTTTTTTAAAGATTTTATTTATTTGACAGAAGAGAGAGAGCACAAGCAGGGGGAGCGGCAGGCAGAGGGAGAAGCAGGCTCCCCCACTGAGCAAGGAGCCCAATGTGAGACTCGATCCCAGGACCCTGGGATCATGACCTGAGCCGAAGGCAGACGCCTAACTGACTGAGCCACCCAGGCGCCCCAGCAATCTGGTATTTCTAATATGTCCTCTTTTTAGCTGCTCTGAAAGACCATGTTTCTTTTTAGACTGCTCCAAAAAGCTACTCAGATTCCAAAAAGCCATTCCCCAGTGCTCAAATTGAGAACCTGGTTATTTTGCCTTCAGCAAAAGGAATTTGT